TCTCAGAAATGCTAAGGAACAAGTGGGGGAAAAAATACAACAAATGTAGAACATGGACTTCCATTTCTGACCTTTGGTCCAGGCAGTTAGGTTTGGATTAGTCACTAAGGCAGATTCAGTGCCTGATTCCAGAAAGTTAGTTAGCAGAACACAGACACACAGTGAGTGCACAATGAAAGGAGTTGGGGAAAGTGGGCACAGTGACAAGGGCTGTGAAAACAGCCTGTGGAGGCCGTGGAGGACTTTCTGCAGTGCTCAAACTAAAATTTAAACAAAGACTAAGAGACAATTAAACAGAAAGGTGAGAAACTAGAATGGACATTTGGCCCAGTAGCCAAGTTGCTGCTTTGGGATGCCCACATCTCTACTGGGCCTGGGTTCAAGTTTTGCCTCTACATCCAATTACAACAACCTACAAAAGGGCATACTGGGAGTGACTGGGTCTTTGCCACTTATCTGAAAAACCCACCATCAGTTGCTGCAGGCATTTGGCGAATAAACCAGTGATTAATGAAGGACTATACTATTCTTATAATAGAGAGGGAAACAGGGTGGAGGCAGGGAGGAGAAGGTGGACGGGAAAATCCCTGAGCCTAAGGAACTGTATCATGAAAAATAAAATAATAAAGTAAATGCATTGAAAGTCAGTGGCTGAAAGACTTCTCTTTCTCCATCCAATCCTTTCAAATAAATACATAAAAATAAAAAGGAAAAGGAAAAAAACAACCAGAAGACAATAACATGTTGCAGTTACAGGTAGACATGAGGTCCTCTCTGGGACAGAGTATCTTTCAATGCAGAAGCACTGAAGGGAGGGAGAAGGGCATGGGAACAGACCCGGGGTGACAGAGGCAGTTACCAGACGGTTCTTGGAAGCAAGTACAGTGGGCATCTTTCATGTACTTCAGTTCCTCTTGCTTAACAGTAACTCACAGGTCCACCTAGACAAGTGCTAATTGGCAATTATACAAACCTACATACCCCAAGAAAAGCAAATCATGATTTGTAAAAATCAAAATAATTATTAAATAACTATTAATATTCTACTAATCATACCTGTGATTTTCTTGGGAATCTGAAAGACTCTCCATTATGTTTAGGGGACAGTGCCTTACAACTCTCATGCTTCTCTTCCTTTCAGTGGTTTATTTCTATATCACTCAAATCAGGATACTACTAGTTATATCCAGGTTGGGAGTTAGACCTGGTGTAACCTCACCTGTGCTAGCTCTGATGCCCGTCTCCTTTAAGGGGACCCACCTCCTAATGTTTCTGTGCTGATCTGGTGAGAGAATGGCTAAAAAAAAAAGTACTATCATTATCATTCTATCAAAGAGTAAGAAATTATGTGAAGTTTGGAAGTTACTTTTGTGTGAGTTGTCACGTAACTAGCAAAGCATGCCCGGACCAAAGCATCCCCAGACCTCCCACTAGTGCTTCTAACTCATTCTGCATCTGCTTCTTCTTTCTGTTATATTTTTTCATTGGGTGGTGCTGGTTTTCAACAGTAAATATAATTAAAGTTCAGCTAAAATGCCTTTTTTTCATATTAGAGAAGCAATACAAATTCTTGAATAAAGTAAAAATAAAAAGGCAAGTGGAGGATGCTAACTGTAGCAAAAATAGCACTGGAGTTATGTGGTATCTGAGTTATATGTGCGAGTTATATGATATGTGAGTTTTATTTCCATAAAGCCATGAAAACTTTGAAAAACAAAAATGGCATTGGGAAATGAGTAATACAGTGTTTAGGATTTGTATAATTTTGAGGAAGTTAATTTTTATTCCTTTATCATTTTAACTGTAAAACAGGGGTACTATTACCTATGTGGTCATTACCAAAAAAATCAGGATAAAACTGGATCCTCAAAGTTCAAGTTCATTAAGAAACATACAAGCCTTCTACTACATTACAATGACACTAAAAAGAACTGCAAAATAAGGGAGCTTTCTGTGTTTATCGTTAATGGCCCATGAGCCTACTAAAACGTCTAGGCAATGAAGGCTGCCCCACTCTGAAGCACCTGTTCATGAAGTCATGCCTTCTCAAAATACTAAAGTCACTGCCACAGCAGCAGCAAGAAGCCCTGGAAACAAACATGAGCTTGCTTCCCCAAGGCACAGTGGCAACAAAATCTGGAGGATCTATTTTCCAAATCTTGGGCTTTTGAGTCCATTAGCACAGGTGTTGTTAGAAGGTTCTGTTTTATGAGTCACATGAGCCAAAAACCAAAATAAACACAAAGGAGACCAGAGTAACCTAAGCCTGAAACCGAATCCTAAGTCACTTCTGGTCTTCCCATGTTCAAAGGCAGGCATTCTACCCCAGACTCAGAAACAGACCTCTTCTGCGTTTCCTTTCCATTTTATGAAGGAAATGTAAAATGAATTGGTGCTTGCTTTCTCTCAGTAGAACACCATTCCCACTTCCCAAATTTGTGATTTACTGGTTTTGCAGAAATAACACATCAATATCAAGAGTTTTACACAAGCAAAGGCAAACATAATTTTTCTACCAACCGAAGTCATTTTTGCCCCAATTCCTACAGAGTAGTAAGCTTAAAATCAAGCCATTTAGCTCACAGTCAGGTCCAATAAATCAGTGGGAAAAAAATAAATGGGAAAACATGCCCACAGGTAACCATGGTAACACCACAGATGCATCAAGAAATGGTGTGCTCATTTGCTTCATTCCCATTTCTTAAATTGGAACCCGAGTAGGGGAAAAATTACAGAGAACAATCATGATTCTACAATTACCGAATTCTGTGAACTTGTCATTAATGTGCTATACTATAACATCGGAGCCAGGTATGCCACAGCTATAGAAACAGTCCTGCATGGCTTGAGTCAAAAAGATTAGGATCTGCTATTTATTGGTGATTCCATCCCCTAGAAACTCTGCTACCTGATCTGTAATATGGGCATAAAAGACCCTCAAGGACAAAGGGTCATGGTAACAGTAAAACTTAACATCGTGGCAAGACAGTTGATGGACATGAGACCCCAAGATCTAGTCACTTGCACCCTTGTTTTTACTAGTTTACCTATGTGCTTCAGTTTCTTTTCCTTTTTTTTTTTTTTAAAAAACAATATTCTATCTATTTGAAAGCCACCATGACAGAAAGTGGGAGTTAGAGTAAGAGAGAGATCTTCCAACTGTTGATTCCCTCACTAAATGACCAGCACCATCTGTACTGAGCCAGGCCAAAGCCAGGAGCCAGGAACTCCACCTGGATCTCCACTGTATGTGGTAGGGATTCAGTAACTTGAGCCACCTCTGCTTTTTCCCAAGGTACATAAGCAGGGAGGTGGGGCAGAAACAGAACACTCAGAGCTCAACCTGGATTTACTGTGAAAAACTGCCATCACAAGCAGAATCTTCCCCACTGTGCCACAACAGCAGCCTCTCATGCCTCAGTTTCCTGATGTTTAAGCATGAAATGATAATCCAGGCTTCATCAACTTGATTGTCATTACTGATTCAAAATCCTGGGACTATTAAGAGGATATTAGTAGGACTATAGCTTTCCATGCAAACGCTAAAAGGCTACAGGAACTGAGAGCTTGGACTTGTTTTGTGTCTTAGCAGATAGGGCCATCATGGGCACCAGGTTCAAGCTAATCCACTCTGATCCCGCTCCCTGCAAATGTGCCTGGAAGGCAGCAGAAGACAGCCTAAGTTTCAGGTACCTTTACCCATGTGGGAGACCTGGAAGAACTTTCTGGTACCTGGCTTCACACCAGGCCACTGGCCATTTGGGAAGTGAACCAGTGGATGGAAGATCTCTCTCTGCCTCTCTATCTTCCAACTCTGCCTTTCAAATAAATAAATCTTAAAAAACAAAAATGAACTGAGGGCCACAGCTTCACCTTTCCACAACCACATCTCTTTCCAGTGTAGCCCTGCCTCACAGTGGACAGGGCAACACTGAGACTCTGTCCATGTCACGTGCAGGAAACTTCTCCTCTCAGAAGCTGATTTTAATTAACAAACAAAATGGAGGCCAAGAGGATATTCTAGAATCTGGTTTCTCAAGACATCAGCCTAGACTTGACAATCTAAGTCCTCATAAGCCCCTGCAATGTCTGATTAGTTGTGCTTTTCAGTATATAGCTTTCAAGGCCTTGTTTTAAAAAATGCTATTTTCAAGCATAATGCTTGAAATTTTGAAAGATAAGGAAACCCTGAAGAAAAGGAAATTTCAAGCACTAGAAGAAGGAACATTCTTGTCTCCTGCCCAACAATCTTCCCTGCATCCACCCCTTACGGTCAGCTGTGTAGGACATCGTGTGGCAAGCACAGCAGTACTTCAACACTACTGAGTGCCCCTTTATCTAAGCCTACACACACCAACTGATCTTCCTTCCCTTCAGACATATACGTGATTTTCTGAGTTCCTTGGTTCTCTGTCCTGCTCTCTTAGATTGGATCTAATCTAACAGTCTTGAGGATTTGGGAATGTTTTTAACCTGTGGAAACTATTCCTGAAAAAAAAAAAAAGCTCATTCCAGATATCCCGAATGATGCATCTAATAATGTTGGTATAAAGGACAGGAAGTATGGGGGAGAAAGGCAGAACTCCCTGAGGTGCCATTAGGGACCTACTGGCTTCCACTAAGGTCCCTCTCAAAACCTCTGGGCTAGTCCCTTCCATGAATGACAGTGAACGTAAACATTTATGAAGGAAGCTTTCACCATGCCAATAGACTCCTCATCCCATTTGCCCTGCAGGACAGTTCTGTGATGCTAGCATTACCGAAATCTCCTTTCCATTCAGGTCAAAAGTGGGCTTTACAAACAGGTAATGTGCCTATCCTTGCAAACTAGTAAGTGGTCAAGCGGGGCATGTCCCACTGCCTGGCATGATTCACCTGACTTAGCAAATCCACTAAGTGGACAAGCTGCCAAATGGTCCAGAACCAGGTATCACGATCTTATTTCCCTTGACTTTTAACATCCTTACCCAAGAGTGAGACGCCAGGAACTGGCTACTTACAAGGCACAGCATGGCGGTAAAGGTTATCCCTTATGGTCTGCTGGAGTTCATGGTCTGGAGACCCTTTCTGGAATCGCTGATTGAGAAAATGTCGCAGATCCTTGTTCAGCCTTCCTCCTGCAGGAGAAAGTAAACATCAACAACAAGGCTGAAGACTGTTGTTTAGAGCAGCCTGAAAATTTTTAGAAAACCGCAAAAAGCAATTCTCCTTAGCCACCCTCAGTCACCAAAACAATGGGTGTGAAGTTTTTCTCTGCAGGGAGAAAGGCAAGAGTATAGTTAAGATGAAGTGACAAGGGGAGCGGGGTGGGAGACAGTGGCACAGGCAGCACAGGCAGCTTAGCTACTGCTTGGGAGGCCAGCATCCCATATTGAAGTGCCAGTTCCTTGTAGCTATTGTACTTCTGATCCAGCTCTCTACTAATGTAAATGGAAAGCAACAATGATGGTTCAAGTGCTTGAGTTCCCGTCACTTGCGTGGGAGGCAGGATGGAGTTCCAGGATCCTGGCTCTGTTGCGCCTTCCTCCAGCTATTGTGAGCATTTTGGGACAAAAAAAAAATCTCTTTCAGTATCTTTGTCTCTGCCACTCAGGAAAGTAAACACATGAATCTATTTTTCTTTTCTTAAAGTATGAAATAGCATTAATTTTATTTTTTTGCAGGGGCTTTTATCTTACAAAATACCAGAGTGTTAAAACAAAAAACAAAAGAATTTTGTTAGGAGCAGAAGTGAGTCTGTGATGAGCACCCTGCTGAAGAAGTCACTGCCTTCATCTGGGAAGTGCTGCTGGAACCATCTTGACGCAGTGTCAACCTACAGAGGTCATGGACACCACCAAGATGAGTACCCTGCACTTCATGCCATCCGCATGTGCAGAGCAATGAGCTTCCGCCCATCTTCCCCCCGGCGTGGGATAGATGTATTACAGTCCAGTGCTGTTTACCTTGGGTGGCCATTCTCTTCACAGTTACTTCCCATATGGGAGTGGTTCAGGATTTTCTCCAGGGGAGGGAACAATCTGTCAGACTCTTTCCCAATAAAAACCTTTACATCGCCTCTCTCTCAACCGTGTCTGAGCATATCCAAACCTAACAAATTGAAACTAGGCCATTACAGTAAAAATGAGCCATAGCAGCAGCCATTTAGCCTCACAGTCAAGACACCCACACGCCACGTAGGAGTGCCTAGGTTCAATTCCCGGATGTGGTTCCTGACTTCAGGTTTTTGCCAGAGAACATCCATAGAGGCTTTGGTGTCTGTCTCTCTGCTCCTCAAAGGATTTTCCTAGATGTTAAAAAAGCAGGAGAGAAAGGGCAGATATTCAGACTGGCAGTTAAGACCCAGGCATTCCTTATTGAAGTCCTTGGATGTAACAGCCAGCTCCAAACCCTAACTAGTTGCATGCTGGTACAGACCCTGGGAGCAGCAGTGCTGGCACGAGTAATTAGGCCCCTGTAACCCACACCAGAGAAGAGAATTGAGTTGCCAGTTTCCAGCTTGGGCCAACCCAGATGTGGGTGCTCCAGCCATGTGACATTTGGAAAGTGAACAAGTGATAGATCTTTCTCTCTCTTTTTCTAAAGAAAATTTTAAAAAATTAAATAATAAAAGGAGGTGGAATCATGATGGTGGAATAGGGTAAGGACATATTTAAACAGATGGAGAAATGTTAGTGTGAAGCAGAAAGGGCATATTCCAGGAAACAGGAGAGGACAAATAACAGCAGAGGGGCACCTAGAGACTGACAGACACAGGAAAGCAGCAAACACAACTGTATGGTGGTGCAGTGACTGATACCCCAGCGGCATTCAGCAAATGGCAATCTGAACTCCACTGGTAGCCAAAACTAACCAGCAACCAGGTGGGAAGGAACTTTCACTGGGAGCTCAGGAGGTGAATCCAAATAACTGCCTGTCCTTCTGGTGTTTTTTATTTGATCAGGAGCAGAGACAGAGCAGTAGATCACAGATGGGAAATGCAGGAACAAGGTGGATTTCACAACCCATTCTACTCCCTAGAACCATCTCAGGCACCATTTTGTTTAAGGAGGTAAGGGCTATGGACAGTACTAAGCATGCAATGAGCTGGGAGTGAACTCATTTCTGGCTCAGTGAACTGCAACAACATGGCATCCTACAGCTTCCAACCAAGAAAGGTCTGGGTAGCCTTCAGACCTGACAGTCAGCAGATCAAGAACTCCAGAACATCATGCACCATTTTGTACAGTGTGGAAAACCTTTAAGAATTCAGGGGCTAGAGTGAGCTGTGCATGTGCTCAGTGCAGCACAGAGAACTCACTGAGCTCAGTGCATTCCATAGGTCCCACACAAAAATAATACCAATTATGGCATCATATGGGTCAAAATAGGTCCATGTGGCCCTCAGACCTAACAGCCAACAGGTCCCGGCAAGATCAGCACCACCAACAACCTAGCTATTTAAGGACACCTGTTGTCTCCCTAATCCTGGTACCTGCTCCAACCCAAAGTGAGAGAAAGGTTGTATAGACAATGGTGCAGACTCAGCACGGTATCACAGGAGGTGGAGACTGGTGAGCCAGTCACATTTCACCAACAAAGATCAGCAGAAACTATATCTCATGGATTTTGATTTTTTTTGTTAGTTTTATCTCTTCAAAACACTTCCTTCTGATTAAATTCTTCAGTGACTCAAAGATTATAGAGTAGCATCATTTTCTTCATGAAGGTTATTGATTTTCATTTCTTCAGTGACGTATTAGTCATTCAGTAGCATATTGTTTAACTTCAGAGTGTTGTTCATTTGTTTTTTTTTTTTTCCTGTTGTTGATTTTGTTTTGTGACTTTTCATTTAAGAAGTATAGTAACTGTGTAATGGAGACTATCACATTCAGATGTGAGTATACAATACAGTATGCATCTCTACTTCCAGACCAAAGATGGACTCCCAACAAAACTGTTTACTATGTCTTGACAATATGATGCTGGACTCTCTGCCATTGTCCATGCCCACAATGATAGACATATGACTGTGTATGAAGAAATATACTATAGTAATGATATAGAGGAACTCAGTGAGGGGGGAGAGAAATGGGGAGGGGATAAGGGAAATCCCAGGGCCTATGGAACTATATCATAAGATGATAATAATAAAAAGAAGTAAAATTTAAAAGAATAATAAAAGGAGAGATCCCATATTTAGTAGAAAGATTCATAAGAAATATAAGCAAAGGGGCCTAGCATGATAGGCTAATGGCTAAATCCTGGCTTTGCATCTGCTGGGATGTCATGTGGATGTTGATTCATATTCCAGCTGCTCCACTTCCCATCCAGCTCCTTGCCTGTGGCCTGGGAGAGCAGCTGACGACAGCCCCAAAGCCTTGGGACCCTGGTCCTGTGTGGGAAACCTGGAAGAAGTTCTTGGCTCCTGGCTTCAGATCAGCTCCGTTCCTGCCATTGTGGCTACTTGGGGAGTGAACCAGCAGACAGAAGATCTTTCTGTATCTCCTTCTCTATGTATATGTGCCTTTGCAATTAAAAAAATTATAAGCAGTTAGTTCTTTTATGGAAAGAGAGTAAGTCAGGGAAATACACTTCATTCCTCACTATGTACGTGAATAGACAGATATTACTAGTCTGTATTGCTTTAAAAAAACTATTTAATTATTTACTAACAAAACAAAACTGCATACAGAGAAATTCCATCTGTTGGTTTACTGCTCAAATCCCACAACAGCCAAAGATAGACAAGGCTGTTTCTCGGAGCCTGGAACTCATATTAGATCTCCCATATGGCTAACAGGAACCTAAATAGTTGAGCCATCATCTGCAGCCTTGTAAAAAGTTGTGAATTAACAAGAATATTGGATTAGGAGTAGAGCTGGGATTCCAATCCAGGGACTCTGATATCGGCAGCAGAATCTTAACTGATGTGCCAAGTATCTACCCCTGTGATGTTTTTGAAATGCCAAGTATATACTACTTCATTGTTATCAGTGTTACTTAAGTCACAGTTTTCTCAACAGGTTTATGGTTTTGTTTTGTTTTTCAATTCTCTTTACTTAAACAAAGCAGAGCTAAAACATATAGAAAAAAAAGGTTAATGATGCAGAAAATAATCATAATTTTCAACACTTAAATCACCAGGAGCAGTCTAAAAAATCAACACAAAACTTATATACAGCATTTGCCCTTAATGACAAAAGATGCTTCAGTGACAGCTAAAAATAATAAAGCTAACATTTTTCTTCCATTTTTAGACAAAATAAAAATTGGGTAAGAACATTTTTGGCCTTAGAGAAACAATGCAGCAATCCAGTAACCACATGAGCCACAAATCTCATGTATTTGGACAACAACTTCCCCAAGGTCAGAAAGAGTAAATCAGGAGAGTAAGAGAAATGGTTTAAGAATATGGTGTTTCCTACCTAGAGCAGGAAACTACTGATCTTTATTTTAAAATCATATTTAAGACAAGATCTCCTATTACAGCTGCTTCTTTTGGAGTAGACTAAAGAAACCAAGTCTGAATTTTTTTATGTGAGTTATATTATATCTGTCAAAATAAGAGCACACATTTGAGCTCATCTCAATTTATTCAATCAGTTACCAAGGATTCACTGAATGAAAAACACAAAAATTCATTCCTTCAACAACCTTCTCCCCTGATTTAGGATGCAAAGTTGGATCAGAGAGTTTACAAAGGGATAGGTATGACTGCCCACTAAGCACATGACAAAAAAAGTAGGATGCAATGCATCAGCAGAGAAACACAAATGAAAATCGTAAAGAAATCTCACTGAAAATCCCCTTCAATAACAGCAATAATGAGAGACTGACAGTATTAGCTGTAGACAGAGTTGTATGGCGACAAGAATTATGGAACACTGTTAGCTAGCATATAACATGGTACTTACATTTGGGAAAACAATTTGTAGGTATTTTATGCAGTCATAACTTTACCAGTCAGGTCTCCCAAACGAAAACAAGTCCACCAAAAATCCTGTCAAAGAATCTTCACTGCAGATTCATTCCAAATATTCCAAACCAGAAACAATCCAAACGCCCATCAAAAAGTTACAAACTGTAAGATCTCAAACCACTAGGGACTACATAGCAATGGGAAATAGGGAACTAC